CTCCTTATCTGGAGCGTCTCGTAGAAGGCCTTCTCGTGGACGCCCCTCGAGGCCAGCAGGAGGAGGAAGCCGAGCAGGTGCGCGCCCATGGCCACGCCGAACAGGACCGCCTGGTAAGCCTGGGTGTAGCCCTGGATGAAGAAGGCGACGCTGAGGAAGACGAAGGTCAGAGTCATGGTGAGGTACCACTTCCAGCTCGCGGCCGAGACGAGGATTTCGACGGCGGCCATCAGGCAACGCACGCCGGCCGACTCCCTGGGATTGCCGCCCGCCAGACGCACCCTCACCGTCCACACCACCAGCAGCGACAGCCATATCAGCAGAAGGCACAGTAGGCTGAACCACGGCCAGTAGGCGAAGGCTACCAGGGCCACGGTGAGACTGCGGCCGCCTGAAATACGTCAGTTTTCAATATTTATGTGAGGTTGAAGGGCAATGCTTTCTCTTATTTACGTTAAAATATACTCAATATATGATAGGAAGTAAAAGAAAATCTGCAATAGTGTATCAAAACGTCCCACAACAGTCGGAAAGTTTGAATATATTTTTCTCGTAGAAGCATCATTGTAAAACAATATCCTCAAGCATATATAGTATTCATATCATAGGAAGTGGCGCTCAAGTCAACTTGGCTACAAAGGCTCACCGATAACGACGAAGGAGGCGAGGGCGAGCAGGGCTGATTTGAGTGCATCCGGGTAATCCCTTTGCGAGTCATAAACTTGTAGGACAACGTGGAAGGTGAAAACCCAGCGCGGCGCTCAGCACGGACGTGGTTATGCTGATGCTCGGGAAAGCCGTCGGGACTCCTTGTCACGGGAAGGGAATGGCCTCAATTAGCCATAAAACAATTTCACGCACGAATGTGTGTATATATGTATATATATAGTATATATATATATATATATATATATATATATATATATATATATATATATATATATATATATGCCGCGTGTTGTATGTATGTGTAGTATGTGTATCATAGGGTGTGTGTCTGTCTTTATGGTATGGATATCAGACAATAAACAGAATTCTTACTCTTCTTAATGAATCCAAATACATGACTCACCCGGCAGATAAAAGCGAATGGTCACCAAGTAGTAAGTCTGGAATATCGCCTGAGGCACTGTCACCACCATGCCATGCAGCAGACGCGTAAACCCCGCCCACTCCAACACCGAAACGGACCTTGCTTGCCGCATGCCCACGCCCAGGTGCCACCACATACTGCATAGTGTGAGAACATTATGTCGTGAATCAGTAGTATACTCACATCAGTTTTAGTATGTTGGTGAGCTTAAATATTCTATAATTTTAAACAGAGAGATTTGAAGAGGAAAAAAGAGAGAGAGAGAGAAGAGAGAGAAGATTATGACCACATATATTATAGTATATATATATCATATATATATATAATATATATATAATATATATATATAATGTATGTATTATTATATATATATATAATATATATTATATATATTATATATATATATATATATATAGAGGAGAGAGAGAGAGAGAGAGAGAGAGAGAGAGAAAGAGAAGAGAGAGATAGAAAGAGAGAGAGAGAGAAGAAGATAGATAGATAGATAGAGGGGGGTGAAGAAGACGAGGAGTGAGAAGGGATGAGAGAGAGAGAAGAGGAAAAAGAAAGAGATAGGGTCAGACAGAAAGAAGACAGATCAGACATAGAGTGACAGACTCTGAAGCGAGGCTCCACAGGAAAAAGAACTTACGCTGTGAGGAGCTGGTGGTCAGGCAGCAGGCACAGCAGGAAGAGCGCCAACTTCGTCAGATGATCAAGTTTCTCAGCATCGATCCTGTCCTCATAAAGTAGATATTAGCATTACAACTGTTCTTGCAATCATGGTCGAAACACTGACCTTACAGAACACATCGCCATCTATACACCTGTCACTCAGGACATTACCATTCAGTTGAACTTGCGCAAATGATCGCACGGAAATGTACAGGCTGACCTGATGGTGTGCAAAGCGAGGTGCAATATGACAATAAAGGGGTGAGGGTAGGGGGAAGGAGGCGCAGTACACTGAGAGTCATTTCATATTATAACTAAAACATTCACACATATGTAGAGAAATATATGGATAAAGAATAATGCCTTCTCACACAAGTGAAATCAACACACTAGGCAATACCTTTCCAAAGTGGCAAAAAGATTGACCAGAATACCGCAGGCGATCCGGAGTATGATGAGTATTCCCGCCCAAGCATTGAGGTTGAGGCCTGCATGCACGACGCCCCACTCGCGGGCGTGCTGGAACAGGATGACGACGAACCCGATATCAGTGGCAACGTCAAACACGTAGATTATGACGCTGAGGAAAGGGAACACATGGCACGGCCCCAGCTGGGACACTCGCGAGGCGACGCCGCCGTCCGTCCGGTCCTCCTCCTCCGCCGCAGGCCCCGAGGGCGCGTTCAGCGACACCGGATCGTAATTAGCGTCCTCCATTGGACCAGGGCAACCGGTGCTCGCGAGTGGGTTGACAATTGGTATAGGCTGAACGAAGCTGCATATTATATCTTATCGTTATCACTGATAAAGTTACCTCGCGGAAGTTGATAACTCGCGCTGGTATTTACTGCCATCAGGAATTGGATGATGTGGGTGGGAGCCGCGGGAGAGCTTGAAGGGGTTGAAGGCTATCAATATTTCATGAATATGTTTTATTGTCTAAAATAACTGGTCACAAATAGGAATGATTAGCCAGTCACAATCACATCACAAATAGGAAAGATTAGCCAGTCAAACCAATCTCACCCAATCTTCAAGACGCTCGTGCGGAAAAAAAGAAGGACAGCGGAGGAAGTTTAGCGTTCGGAAAGCTCTACCCCTGCAGCGTTACTTCCCCGGCAACAGCACCGAAACAACGATTTGGACCGATTTAGAAACTATTATTTAACCAGAACATTAAAGCTGCTTAATACAATGACAATTTTTTCTTTTTATAAAGCGAGCTAAGACATGTACACATGCTATCTAGACAGTCGACATGCAGTGTGTCCACGTCGCGAGTCCATTTCATATAATGCGCGTCGCGACCTTTATTTTAACTGTTTAGATAGTTCCAGCTATCTAGAAAATAATCATTTTAATACTAAAATTAATAAGTATTATAGGTGGCATACATTAATATTTTTA